TTCTTGAGAGGCTGAGTAACCCAGTCATACCTGTGCTTTAGGAGTATGAAAAAGGCAGATGTGTAGAGGATGTATTGGAGAGAAGAGACATTAGAGACAGAGATATCAGGTAAGAGGCCATTGTAATAGTGAGAGTGACCGTGGTAGTTGAGTTATGGGTACAAGATACAACAGAATGTTGTAAGAGTAAAATCTGCAATATTTGCCCTCTTATTTAAAATATGGAAGGAGGAAGAGGGAGGAGTTAGGATGACTCCAAAGTCACATACAAACAGCAAATATTGGGCTCTGGGAGTTTAAAACTGAAATTTATTAAACTTTTCTCCAAATATGGGGAAATAATTATAACATAAGGAAACTTGTTCTAACACACCCACCAGAAAATTACTCATTATTTTAGATCATTTCAACGAATATTTACTGAGTGCTTACTTTGTCCCATCTCTGCATGATCTGGACAAATCATTTAACTTCTCACTGCATTCTAGGCAACTCTTGAAAAGTATATATGACAGGAGCAGCTAGGTGGCAAAGTGGGTAAAGCACCGTCTTTGGACTCAGGAGGACCCGAGTTCAAATCAGGCCTCAGATACTTACTAGCTGTGTGACTCTGGGAAAGTCACTTAACCTTGATTATCTCCCCCAAAAAAGTGTATGTGACAGAGAAGGTGCCAACCTGCATTGAAGTAGTGTCCTCATATTAATGAAATCACAGGTCCAATGCTTATTCCTTATCTCTACTATGTCCATAGTGTCCATAATACAGTTAGGAAACCAAAGGTAGCTACTAATGCCAGAAAAATATAGCTTTTTCAGTCAAGTATGAGCCAACATGATTCTTAATTTTCTCATAGCTGAGTGAATGAGGGACAGACTGCATACAATGTCCTAAGCTTAGCCTTAAAAGTCCTATAGGATCTACCTCAAATGAAATAGAAGTAGCTTGTGCTACGTGGACAGAGCACCAGGCCTGGAGTCAGGGAAACTGAAGTTCAAATATGGCCTCTGGCGTAGAGCTAGCTGTGTGACCCTGGACAAGTCACTTAACCTCTGTTTGTCTCAGTTCCTCAGTTGTAACATGGAGGTAATAACTGTACCCATCTTACTGTTGTCAGATATTTATAAAGCCCTTAGTACAGAGCCTGGCACATAGTAGGCACTTTATAAATGCTGAGTGTTATTGTCTTTTAGCCTCTTATTTTTATATTATTACCTTTTTGGTGATCCTCAGTTCAGCTGGGTGGCACAGTGGATAGAGTACTAGGCTTGAAGTAAGGAAGACTCATCTTCACGAGTTCATATCAGGCCTCTGAAACTTCCTAGCTGTGTGAGCCTGGGCAAGTCACTTATCGCTGCTCTTGCTTGAGTTTCTTCATTTTTAAAATGATCTGGAAAAGGAAATGGAAAAGCTCTTCAGTATCTCTGCCAAGAAAACCCCAAGTGGGGTCACAAAGAGTTGGACACAACTGAAAACAGCTGAAAAACAACAACAAAGATGTTCCTCATTTCAGTCAAAAAGGTACTAACCAATTACTCAAAGTATCAAAATTACTAGCAGGAAGTGACCTCAGAAGTTGTCAGTCTCATCAGGTAACAGACGCAGGTCACAGGCCAAGTGCTTTTTTCCCATTCTGTTTATTTCTTCATTTAGTCAAGTATTGGCCAATATCTCTGAAGCTATCCTGTCATCAGGAGCTCCTGCAAGGGCTGCTGTTACCTCCTGAGGATGGGACAGGGCTGAGAGGGGAAGCTTGCACTTGCAATATCCCTGATCTGTTTGAAACCTTCAGGAATTGTTAGCAGAGGAGAGAGGTTGGTCTAGAAGTGGGGAAGCAAGGAAGCCTGAAAGCTGGGTTCATTGACTGATTGACAGGGGCTTCCGGGGAAAGAAGGATTCAAGTGGTGTGTAAGGGACATAGTGGCTGAACAGGGCTGGAAGGATTGTGTGGCCACCCATAAGTTGTGTGTGAGGGGTGCTCCAGCGAATTTATATCGACACATGGATGATTGAGTACCATTATGCCAGGGTGCGTAAAAGGCTAGCTAGCCCTTTTCAGCATTGACAGTGCTGTTCCATAAATAGGAGCTAGCATGGGCGGGGGGGAGGGGGGAGGACCAACTAGTCTAAGACAGATCTGAATTCCCCAGAAGGTACATTTTCAAAGGTCCAACTTCCAGCTAGAAGTGCAGTTTGAGCCTTCTGCATTTGGCCCAGTCTCACTCATCAGAGTCATTTTTCTTCTGGGCTCTGAAAGTTTTCCTTTCTTGTGCAAAGTCGGAATGCCAAGAAAAGGAGGATTAACCTCAATGGGTCCCATCACAGTTGGTTTCATTGGGCCCTCTAGTCTCTTCTATCTCAAAATCTCTGATCATATGAAATTAAGTCATCTGCCCACAGTCACGGCAAATAAGGGTAAAGTCTGTATTTGAAGTCACATCTCTTTAGTCGCGGAAGCCAGGCATCTTTCTAATATACCACTGGCTGCTACAGAGGCTCTGTGGAGGTTGGCATCACAGAACAGATGAGGAAGCCCCGAGAAAGTGTCTGTCCCATCACAGCTCAACTTGACTCCTCAAGTCAAATGGAAAAGACATAGAGTTCCTGGGTATTTATTAATCCATTTGCTAATTAAGCTAACTATCATCCCTGAATGGGTACAGCTTCAGACAGACTGAGACCTGGGGAAGACCCATGTTTAAAAAAGCCAAGGTCTCCCGCTGCACCTGGGGCCATCTTCAGCTGTCCTGCTCTATATCTTATCATTGTACCACATGGCCGTGGAGGAGAGAGTGAGGCTGGTGACATTGCACAGCCCTGCCTTACTTTAATCCAATTCACTCTCAAGTCACGACATCAACTTCCTGATGTCACTGGTCCTCTTGGAGAAAGAAGGACAAATATCAATCTTTGAATAATAGTAGCTGCCCCACTGGGGGCCCAACTGGCTAGCTTCAGTTGGGCAATACTGCTCATTCTTTCCTTCCTTCCTTCCTTTCTACTTTCTTTCCTTCTTTGCTTCCTTCTTCCCTTCCTCCCTCCCTCCCTGTTTCCACATGGGGAATCATGCACTTACATATGGGTTCTTTTTCTTAAAAGATTTCTTAAAATAGAGTCTGGAAAAATGAGGTTTTGGTAATGCCCATTGGGATTCAAGTGGAGCTACTTGAGTATGTCTTAACTCAAATCACTCTGACTCTTACTGATTGGCCAAAAACACTTCCCAGTCCAAGTCCTGGTTGGCCATTGTTTGGGTTTTGACAGCTCAGAGTGAGTATAAGTAGCACTTATTTCTGTTCTGACACTAAACACTGATGGTCTTCCCCTCCAAATTGATTTTTCATAGGTAAAAGAGGCTTCTTTTGCTTTGGTTTTTTTTTTTTTTACCCAGCTTTAATTACTGAATAGGAGTAGCCTCAGACAAACTGAGAACTAGGAAAGACCCTAGCTTAAAAAGAACAAGGTTTCTAATTGCATCGTGGCCATCTCCAGTCTTCTTGATCTATATCTTGCCACTGGACCCAGATGGCTCTGGAGAAGAGAGTGGTGTGGCTGACTTTGCACAGGCCTGCCTCACTTAAATCCAAATCACTTGCAAGTCAAGACATCGCCTTCCTGATGCCATTGGCCTTCTTGGAGAAAGAAAGACAAAACAATCTGTGACTTTTCAGGGATCTGGTTATGACAGAAATGAAATGAAATGAAAAGGGTGGATCACAAAAAACAATATTTAGTTATTAACATAATCGTATAATATGCATTTCTCCCACCCTGAAATTTTGTGATTTTTCTTTGTATTACATGTATTAAGCCACTGAATTTCAAGAGATTTCTTTTGACGGTTTTATAGGCTTATACAGCAAGATTTGCAAGTACTTTATATACATTGCCTTCTTGGACCTATACCATAATCCTGTGAGGTTAATGGCATGTATAGGTCTTAACTCCATTTGATAGATGAAGAAACTAAACCTTAGAAGGATTAAGTGGTAATGTCATCAACAAGTTAGAATTTGGGTTGAACCCATGAGGCCAAGTCCAATATGCTATTTACCTCACCATTCATTCATCATTGTCTTATTCACTTATTGTCTCCTGCGAAATAAATATGCCTTAGAAAGAGGTGAAAAAATACAACTACATTATTACACTAACAGTCTTATTTGAATGCATCCCAAAATACAAGGAGGCATCTATATTTCCCAATGCACAGAGGATCAAAATTACAATCAGGAAGTGACCTCAGAGGGCATCAGGTCACAGTTGCAGTACGTCCTTGAAGTCAGGAAGTCCTGAGCTCAATTCTGCCTCAAGCACTTACTCTCTGGGGGACCCTGGGCAAAGTCACTGAGTTTATCTCAGTTTCAGCCTCCAACTATTTGAAAAGGGAATTGGAATAACACTTGTCTTGCTGGGTTGTCCTCGGGATCCAGTGAGATAACAAATGAAAAGCACTTTGCAAACCTTCAAAGCACTATGCAAATGCTGGCTAGGATTATGATGCAGGCAACTCAGGGCAAGGAATTTTCCAACTTTCTCCACCAATAGTAAAGGGCACCTCCTCTGAGACACAGTGTCTCTAAAAGTTTTCCTATTCCCTGAGATGTGAAATGACTTTCCTAAGATAACACACCCAAATGTTGCCCAGGAAAGGATTTGGACCTAGGTCTTCCTGACTGAGGCCAAGCTCCTGTCTACTGCATCTGTAAGGAGAGGCAATATTGCATAGAGTTTAGGGTGTTAGACCCAGAATCCTGAAGAAGGATCAAGTTTCTGCCTCTCTGATCCTAAGCAAGTCCTCCAACTTCTCTGACTCCCTAGAAGCTAAAGGCAAAACTCTTAGCTTAGATCAAAGGAATCTGGAGAGCCCGGACTCACTGACCCTGCTCTGAGGAGTTATTTCTATTCCTAAGAGTTCAGAAGGACTTAGAGGGACAAATAGAATGTAAAACTGGGAAACCTTGTCCTTCCTACTCAATTTTCTCTTTTGAACTTGAAGTAGCTAATGATACCCAGGCATCATATTCATCCTCCTTCTCATAGCAGCGGTGGCGGCGGCGGCGGCAGCAACAGTAGCAGAAGCATCATCTTCATCAGGCAACTCCTTGTTTCCAAGGAGCCCCTGCCACAGACCCAGTGGTCGTGCTCATAGAAAACAGGGCTTGGTCTGTCACCGCCATTTAGAAGTTCTCACCTTGTTTTGGTGTTGGGACCCAAATGGGAGAAGAGGAGGAAGTGCTGTGGCAGGAATGATGTCATATTCATACCTCTTCTTCCTTCCAAGGCTAGAACTTCATCAGAGAGATAGTGAAAAGTGAGAATAGAAACTCAAACCAAATTAATGGTGATGAAAGAATATTTCTCTCTGAAATTTGTACTAGAACTTTCTACCCAGATTTTCACCGTGTCTGGAAGAAGCAAACACTCAATAGTTAACTGCCCTTAAATAGCCATTACCACACCCATATGTATTAGCTATATATACATTAGGAATTCCCAATTTGGGATATGAATATTCTAAGGGAGTAGAAGAAATTGATCACAGGGCACTGTGAATACTTGCCAAATAATTTTATTATCCCTTTAAAATTAATTTTATTCTGATGTTCGTAAGGGGGCAGCTAGATGAGGGCGAAACGGATAACATATCAACAAGAGTCAGGAAATATTTTTTTTCTTCAAATCTAGCCTCAGACAGTTAGTAGCTCTTTGACCCTGGACAAGTCATTTAACCCCATTTGCCTCAGTTTCCATCCATAAATGAGGTAGAGAAGGAAATGGCAAACCACTCCATCATCTTTGCCAAATCAAAAACACAAATGGGGTCAGAAAGTGTTGGATGGGACTGAAATGAAATGAAAACCAGCAAAAACATGTATAAGCACAGTGAACGACAAAATTTATTTCATTGTGTATCAAAGAGAGCTCAAAGTTGGGTTTAGAGAAATTTCAAGGGGATAGGACTGGAAAAAGTTCCAATCAGCTTGCACTGGCAGAAAAGTCTTCAGTTGTTCAACAGGGAGCCTCTCCATCATGAAGTAGGTGATGCCGCTCCTGTTGCAGGGGAAGTCTGGAAATTGAAGGCCCCGAACCAGGGAGCCTGGTGGTGGGTGGAGAATTCCTCCCTGGAGAAGTACTCAGAGAGCTGAATAGCAGCAAGCACAAAGATGAGAGTCCACTGGACAGAGGGTCATGGGACCAGCCTTTGTTCCTGGAAGTGGGGGGCCAGGAGAAAAGATGGCTGTGATGGGCTGGGTGATGGAAGTGAGATGGAAGCTGTAAATGAGGCAATGCCGGAGGATGTTGTAAAAGGTAAGAGTGGCAAAGCTATAGTCTAGGCACACCCCAACCCTGGGCACAGGGCCTTTCACTTGATGGTTCAGTGATCCTGGATATGTTTGGAAATAGCAATCCTCCTCCTTCTTGACACAGAGAAGCAGGAACACAGAGAGACAGGAGTTCACCTTCCTGTCCTTCCTGTCCCTCCTGCCCCTCCTCTTCCCCGAGCATGGGCTATGGATCCCCAGGATCCACTGAGGCAGTTGAGTCACATCCACCTCCCAGTACAGAGTGCCTGAGCGGAAAGCCTGCTCAGCAAAGACATACCAGCCAGCAAGGTCCGCAGGGTGCCAGGTCTCCCCTGGCCAGCCTTCTCCAGCCTGCACACTCCTCAGATCCTCAGAAACAGTCACACAGGGACTGGCTGATGTGGGATCCAGCATGATGTCCACTCTGAAACTGTTGAGCATCTCCATTATGCCAGGGATGGGGTATTCTCTCAGCTCTGGGGTGACAGCCTTGGTCCTTTGGGACAACACTGACTCACTCCTTCCCAGCAACTGCTTCCCTTCCTGTAGCAGATCCTCATTGGGTTGGTGGCCTGCTTCCTGCAGCTCCAGCAGGAGGTGCTGAAGGGTTTGCTTATACTGGGAGAGTCTAGTGTACCTTGCCCTTTCATCTTCCTCTATCCTTTCATAGCACAGGTGTTCTTCATGCATCAGGAAGTAGCCAAGTTTGTAATATTCTGTCAGGACCATCCAGTGCCAGCCAGCAGCAGATCTCCTGTGCTCAGCTAGACGTTTCTCAGCTTCCTCCAAATGCTTCCCCAAGTCACTCCTAATGCACTGGAGCTTCTCCCTGTAATTGTCAGCAGCCTCTCCTACAGGAGAGAGCCTGTGAGCTCCATGCTCTGGGCTTTGGGAACATCTCATACAGAGGGGCATCTGGTCAAGTTCACAAAACAGCTTGAGCTCTTGCTGGTGCCTGGCACACTGGCTCTGACCCTCAGTGCTCTGCAAAAGCTGCGGGTAGAGCTGTCTGGCCAGCTCAGTCAGCTGTGCTAGGCTCCTGTTGACTGCTGGGAATTCTCTGACCTAGGACATTTGCCTGCGGCTCCTGTTGACTGCTGGGAATTCTCTGACCTGGGACATTTGCCTGCATTCGGGACAAGAGAAAGCTACAGTTGCAAGTCTCCAGATCTGGGAGGGGCATGCTGTGCAAAAGCTGTGCCCACACCCGATGGTGACTGGCTCAGACAAGCAGCTCCAACAGATGCTACAGGTGATTTCCCACTGCCATTCCGGCATTTCCCTAGCAGCAGCCATTCTTCTCTCTCCAATTGCTTCTCTTCTACAGCAGCTGAGATGAAGAGTCTTCAGGTCCACTGGAGGCACTGCTTCTGAGGGGCAGGAAGCCCTCCTTTTATAGGAGGTAGCCCCACCCTTTCAAGGCCTCCCAGACAAGGTGTCAACTCCACTAGCCTGGAATCCTGCAGTTCAACCTGTTAACCCTTGCTGCTTGCACAGCCCTGGGGCCCCCACAGTTCACACCTCTGTGTGAATGGACAGGTGTCACCATGCTGAGGGCCCCTGTGTGTGAGAAGGAATGTTACCAAAACATGGAGGACTGGCTCAATGGATTTTCAAATCTGCCTTGTCCACAGATCCTGGGCAGACATTAGAGTCTCTAGGCAGGTTCTTTCAAGTTTCCCTTTCTGTACCCAATCAGTTCCCAAGTCTTCTCAAGAATCCTTTCCATCCTTCCCTTTCCGTCCACTTACTGAGAGTCACACAATTTCTGATGTGGAAGAACTTCTCTAGTCATTTTAACAAAAGACTTGGGGGATACTTAAGCAGTGAATAGGCCAAATAGGTTACCTCCCTCTAAGAAAATTGATTGTACTGAAATTCTCTTCCCTAAACCAAACTGAAGATGTTTCTGATTTAATTTCAGTTGTTTGGGATATGGAGTGACTACACATTCAGGTCAAAACAGCAAGATCTCACATAATTGCATTGTGCTTACATCTTTTACTGACCATTCGCTCTTATTAGAGAAATTTGCTATAAAATGACAAGACTGGGAAAGATCTATGCCAAGTATCACAGGATAAAACATCCTTAGAATTCAGCTAATTTACTTTGTCACTTCCACCTCATAGCCAGGCTCAGGAATAGCCATGTGTGTGACATTCCTTTTCAAAGGAACATAATGGGGAAACCAAGCCAGTAGGATCCCATCTTAGACTGAGGCTCAAATTTTCCTCTCCACTTTTCCAGATACAGACCTCTTTATATATCACATTCTCTCTGAGTAGGCTGTGACATTTCTCTCAAATGGTGCACTTTTGAGTATTGCTTACGGATCGAAGATTATGATCCAACTCAAAATCAATTATAGTCCCAAGGGCTTCCACCTCAAATAGCAAGTTCTACTAATCACAGTTTGGGAAAAAATTTACCAGAATTTACATCTCAAATTTAAATGTGTCCTGCTGTAAAACCCAATCCTTAGAGATCATTTCTATACACTTGCAAATTCTCAGCAAGCCAAGTTCATTGTTTGGGAACTCCAGAACCCAAACAAGCTTTTTGAGAAATTTACAAAATAAAGGGGATGAACTGGGACCCCTGACAAGGGACTTCCTATCCACCTGATTTGTCCTCTGAGCAGCTGTGGGCTGTGCCTTTTGACTAGCCTTGAGGACTGCTCTGAATGGGCAGAATTAATCTAGATAAGGCTTTCACCTCATCTCCTCCTGTACACACACATACACACACACACACACACACACACACACACACACACACACACACACACAGAGAGTAATCAATTACCAGCTTTAGGTTTTAACATTAAAACAATAACCAACAATCTTACAATTTTCATAAGTGATAGCCAAATTGTTTTAGCTGTAACACAAACAATAATCTTCAGATGACATCAATTCCATGTCCAGATCATATGAAAATATTCACATAAGTATGGCCTGGACCCATCTCCCTTTCCTCTCTACCTACAGCTTCTGGGGTGTGGTGGTAAGCAGGATGAGTTGAACTTGAGTGCTACTTCCGGGCTTTCTGGGTGGGCTACAGGGTGTCTAAGAACCAGGGCTATTTCCAGTTGGACCCTGATGTGACTGCTGCCCCTCCCCTTTCCTTCCTATCCACTGGTGGGTGAAGGTGAATTCACAGGTAGGGGAGGTTGACTCAAATTCCCTACCTTCTCCAGCCTTCTCTTCTCTCAGTTTGATCTGGGATGAGAGGGGTTAACCAGAAAACACTGGAATATTTGCAATCCCTCTACTGAGATAGCATCTTGACTAGAAGGAAGGAAGTTGGCAAAAGGGAGTGACAGGGATTGTAAGGAGATGTTTCAAAATTCCTTAAGGATCAGTCTCAAACTCTGCAGCATCTGCTAAGATGTTTTTAGCCGTTCTAACTTTTCACTATAGCCTTAGCCTTGTCAGAGCTGGGAGTACAGGAAGAAGTAGCTTAAGAATTTTTTTTTGAACTTTTATATTTTTTCTTTGTCTTCTAGATTGTATTGATGCCAGACACAAAGCTTTTCTTTTCAAAGTCTTGGAGACCCAGTTTTTTCCAGTTCTGTAAAAGATAACCTAGGGGCAAAGGTGAAGGTCTGCTGCATCTGGTTTAGAGGATCTTGGAGCCATGAGGCCAGAAGATAAGGGGAATTCTGCAGACACAGACATGGGGATGAGGAGTCCCTCTGTGAAGGCAATCCTAGAGTGTAGTAAGCCTCAGGAAACTAAAAAGGCGCTGCAGTTTTCCCAATTCCCTAGCATCTTATAGATTCAAAAGAATTGGGTATATGCTTCCAGAAAAGGCATCTATCGCCTATGTGGCAGAAGGTGTGCCTGGGTCCATGGCCTCAAACCAAACCACTGGTCTAAGAGCCTGAGAGCTTCAGTCTCAGCTGAAAAGCACCTCCAAGTCTTCCTAGGTGCTTGGAGAGTGACCCCAACAGTAGAGCGAGAAAGGGATAGAGGGGAGGCTTGCCAATCTTGGCTGGAGAAAGTCTTGAGGGTTTAGGCAATTTCCCAGTCAGGGAACCAAATATGACGTGGTCTAGCAGTGTTGGCAATTCCAAAGCATAAAGGTACGGGCCTCAAAAGAATTTGACCGCTCAAGTCTTCTTTCAGTCAAAGTAGTGAGGTTTGGCAGGCATGGCATGAGCGTGGAAGGTAGACTCCTAGCAAATCTGTGGTATTTGTGATGCCAATATAAGCTGGCAAGATTCTAAGAATCTGGGCAATTTAATGGGGCTACAATTGGTACTTTTATACAGAAAAAGACAGAAAATTTGATTGAGATTAAGGAGTGTCCAGTAAACTAATTAAGTAATCTAGGTGGTCTGGGGTCAGCCAGATATCATGGGTAGAGACACCAGTGATCTGGGCTACTGAAATATATGGGGTCATGGGACTTGAACCCCTAAAAGGAAAACACTATGTCTTTGAAAGCAATGCAGTCCCTGAATTTTCCCATATATTTGCTATGGAAGAATTCCTGCTCCTTCTAACCCACATACAACCACACACAGGCATTTGCAAAATTATTTTTGTGAATATTCTATTTTCAAAGAACCAATAATAGAAGCATAGCAGGAGGTCTTACAAGTCAGTTCTTCAGGCCTTCTGGAGTGAAATAATAGTCCAAAAGAGGATGTGGGAGCAGGGGTCAGAGGCCAAACAAAGGGAGCATTAGAAAAGATGACATTTCAGTGTCACATGATTCATGTAATGGGTGAGAACGGTTCCTTTTGCTTTTCCAAGCGCTACCAGATAGTTTATTGTAAAGGCCTGCAAAGAAGGCTGTTAAAACCATGTATATTTTTTACATTCCCATCATTGGTCGGAATCCTCATTATGTGAGCCTAGCTCTTGCCAGTTGAATCTGCATTTTCTCTGAAATAGAAGTCATAATGAAGACACTAGGCTGCTGATTTCCATGTCAGGTTTCATTAGTGTGACTTGTGACAAGTGAAGATAGATGCCTCAGACTGGTATGAAGGTGATTACAGGTTTCAGGCTAGCTACTAACAGGAAAATCAGACATCCTAAAAGAACAATTATCATCATAATAATTCCCATCCACACTCTTCTATAGTGACCTGGGGAAAAGGACAATGGTTTCCTGGGCTGTCTTTTTGGTTAATAAACATTGATGTTCAATAGCATTTAAATGACACCCCAGAGGCTTTCATCCCCTACTCAGACCTGGGCCCTAATCCTACAGGCTATGAAATAAGGAAGATAGATCTCCTATGGAGCAAATATATGGCCCCCCCTTCTGCCTGTGCTCGTCCCCACCCTGACTAGAAGAGCTTTATGACCCATATTTATGACATAGGGGCATTGTTCTTTTGGAGTGATGGAGGCAATAGGTAATGACCTTTCAGACAAGAGCCACAAGAAAGATGAAGGGTCCCAACATCACTTCATAGGAAGATGAACTGGAGGAACTAGGGATGTTCCCCCAGGGAAGAATCAGGAAAACATGATGACTGCCTAAAAGGATTTGAAAACCTATCATATAGAGGAGCTTTTAGAGCTGTTCTGCATGCTCCAAAAGGACAGGGCGAGGAGCCATGAGTGGTATTCATGACAAAGGGAAGAGTCTCAAAAGCTGTTTTGAGTGTGCGATTTTGCCACTAGCTTTAATTTATATCACTATCTTTGAGCTGTAGTTGTATCACCTCTCAAATGGGGTCGATAATAATAATTCTTAGGATCCATGAAGACATTAGTTGCAAAAATCCTTTTAAATGGTTTGAAAAGTATATGTAAAATTACACACAAATTAATTTTTAGAATCTACTTTATTTTTAATTTATGTAATAAAACATGCATTTCCATAACGTAGTATAATAAAGATGATTGCACTTGAAACTACAAATCTACTACACACAACTTGCTATTCCTTTCAAATATACAATAAAATTATGTAAATTCCTTTTTTTCTTTTTTTCCCTTTTTCTTCCCTTCCTCCCCACCCCCACCCTAGAGATGGCTACCATTTGACACAAATAGGTTCATGTGTGTGTATATGAAATTATTCAATACATCTATTTATCAGTTCTTTCTCTGGATGCACATAGCATCCTTCTTCATATGTTCTTTAGAGTTAATTTGGATATTTATTATAGACAAAATAAATCATTCATTCAAAATTGTTCTTAAAATAATATTG